AAGCTGATCCTGGGCATCCAAATCCTCGGGTCTCACCGCATAGTATTCGGGCCTCTGCTCGTAATGTCTCCACTGCCATTCAAGCGGGAAACGGGCCATAAGTCGGGTAACTGGCCGCCCGTCCTCCACCTCTTCCACCCGAGCATAAAGAGAATCTATGGCCGCGTCTGTCAAGGGTTTCACGATGAAGTACCTCTCCTTGAAATTCCGCACGGACTCCAGATAAGGCCGAATGAGTTTCCCTAACTGCTTAAAAGAGACCCACGTCTGTCTCCCGTGGACAAATTGTATCTGCAAGTGAAAGATGAGGAAGAAAAGGGGCAGCGTGGCGCCTATCCCCAGATATTGGCAGACGCGCTCGAACGCCCGCATGAACGCCAATGCATTTGGATGAAGTTGAGAAGGTGCCAGCTGGAGCCACTGGAAAACCCTGACCTAGAAATCATTAAAAGGCAGGAACATCCCCACCTCCTTGAAAGAAAACTCATACATTGGGAACCATTTTCCCGGATACGCCGAGCATATCCTTCGGTCCCCATGAAGTATTTGAAGCATCCAGTTGGCCGGAACCCCTTCTGCATGTTCTTCCGGTCAGTTAAACGCGTCCGTTGCGTCCTGCGAGAAGCACGATCTTTTGTCCCGGGGCTCCGGAGCAACCCAAGCCAAAGGATCCTCCTCGTCACTATGGGGTTCGTCGTCGTGATGGGTGGCCGGAATATCGCTCCCTCAGAAGCGTGCCATTGTACCTGAAAAGCAGGGGAAGTTAATGAATTCGACATTATCAAATCCACCATTCCACCGAAGATCAAGTGAAAGGGCGACCAACTCAACCCAAGCCCTCGAAATACTAAAGAGGACCATTACAGTCAGAGGACATGATGTCGGGGAATAGTGCACCGAGCACGAGCCCGGATACGTACTAACCTAAGGATCCCCCGGCACCATAACACGAACGTTCATAGGTTCCCGACACATTCATGAGTGCTCGACACTAAATACATGAACCCAAATGAATATTCGTGAATAGTCATGAAGCTCATGAATATTTATTAATAGGTGCCCGACATCTTCATGAGTTCCCGACACAAAACCCATGAATTCATATGAACATTCATGAACATTCATCACAAAACTCATGGATATTTATCCAATCAAGACAATTGTTTTACATTTAATCCAGATAAGCCCAAGAAACATGGTATTAAGAGGTTATAACTTACTTAGATGAAGAACATTGAGGAAAAAACTGGAAAGTTGAGAGGGTCGCCTCACACCACAAGCAAAGAAAAACTGAGAGCTTTAAGAGAACCGCTCCACACCGCGAGAAAATGAAGGATTGAAAGGGAGACGAGAAGATGAAAAATGAATCCCAAGGGCCCCCTTTTTATAGGAGACCCACGCCCCAAGGGATCCCACATGAAGGGTCATCATCTCATTGGCCCCTTTTTCTTTTTTCTTAAGGGGTGACACCCTAAAACGCTAGCCACGTGGCTCAACCATCAAACACGAAATCCTCTGGACTAGCGAGCAAGCGCCCGACTCCTACGAGGACATGACGTAGGGGGTTGACACTTACACGGTGAGGTTCTCGGCACTAGAGTGAACAAAGGGGAACATTCCCTTGACCATCTCGAAGACGAGGAAATGCTCGACAAACTAACAGCTCCCAGGAGGCGGATGAACCCTCTCGAGCATAATAACTTGGGGGGGGGGGGGGGGGGGAGGGGGGGCTCCTCACCGCCAATATTCCCTCTCGAGCTGGCGGATGAACCTTCCGATCTTGATCCCCGTCCGTCCATGGTATTCCCCGACATATTTGTGCTTGCCCCCCGCGGGCAACAATCCGCTCCCTTCGGGGACTTCGACCCTCTATCCCGACCAAGCCTTTGATAATAAGGACTGCACATAAGTCATCACCCTCTAACTCGAGGACAATAACTTCGGGGGCTCCTGATCTGGACTGGGCCTACATTTGCCCTACAAAAATAAGGCCCAAACGGCCCAATTTAGAGATTGTGGGGCACCTCCCCATCTAACCGTTGGGGGACGTGGTCCACCACTTCTCAACGGACATATCAAACTGCCCACCGGGAATTTCGAGTCCAACCCTATTCTCGCGGAGCGGTTGACCAGGGGGGAGTCCACTTGCTGGACTCCATACTCACGTAAACCCTAGCAGTTCCCGTTATTGGGCCTCTGCGTGGTCCAATAGTGGAGACCTTGGCCCAGCGCTGGCGGCTATAAATACCTTCTCTCGAGAGGGTCAGGTATTCATTCATTCAAACCTACATACATACTTCCTTGCTCATTTCGTCTCTCACTTTGTCATCAGAGTGTCACACATTATTTTAATCAAAAATGGATCTCTTTATCTTGTTTTTATAAATTAAAGAAAAATTCGACCCGACTGTAAAACTTCTAATTTTTTGTTTTTTGATCGATCTTCGATTTTTTCAATTTAAATCTCGGTTCTTCCATATATCGGTTTTAAAGTCCAAACTAACCGATTAGATTTCTGATTCCTAGTCCAACCAATTGAACCAGTCGATCCGATCCGATTTTGATTATCTTGCTGATTATAAATGACCCGTTACATAAGTGTATTTCTTAAAAAAATGTCAAATTTGACTGCTTAAAAGGTGATTACGGAAGTATACTTTCATAACTTACTACAGAGATGCATCTCGAGACTAAATCATTACAAAATAAGGGTGTGACTCACTTATAAAGAAATGTAGTGTATGTGTGACACGAATATATATATATATATATATATATATATATATATATATATATATATATATATATATATATATATATATATATATATATATATATATATATATATATATATATATATATATATATATATATATATATATATATATATATATATATACTTTTGGAATTTCGAGAGACAATTTTGGATTTTTAAAGAGTGACTACTTACCACTGAGGGTGAAAAGAGCAACCCCTAATATTATGAGATCATAACATATTATTCGAGTCCAATACTAGATAGATTGCAGTCTATCCAATTCCAAATGTGTCATTTATTTCTATAAAAAAAGAAAATAAAAATTTCATAATTTTATTATATAAAATATATTATTTTAAATATAATATATTTTTATGTATTATATATTGTTTTTAGAAAATAATTTAATATGTTTTGAAATACAATATGAGTTTAAAATATTTCAAAATAATATATAAATATCCAACATAACACAAATTAATTAATAGAATACGGTTTTTTTAAATTAAACATTAAGTAATTAATTATTAATTTGATATATTATTAAAAATAAAAAAATTAAATATATTATAAAAGATAAAATTTAGTAAAGTGTGTTAATTCATATTTAGTTTTTGAGTGAAAAAACATAATCATTACTTTAAGTTTTTTGAATTTTTAGTTTTACAGGCTAAACAAATTATTTATGACTCATACGAACAAGCTCTATTGAGTAGCAAGACCTCCCTATTAAGTAGCGAGACATTTTAGGTCTGATTTAAATAATTTTTATAAAATTTAAACTTTAATTTAAAGTTTAATTCTTATATTTTATCATACTTTTCTTATCAATTCATATAAGTAATCTATTTTGACGATTTTAGTGAAAAAATATATAACCTATGGATGAAACTTCGACAAGTTCCTCGAATTTGGTAGTCATTAAATTTTTATTTTGAGATGTAATATTTATTTTTATTATTCTTGTCCCATCTTTTTCCTCATTCTCTTCCATAATCCAAACACCACAACAACCATGTAGAGAGACGATGTGGTGGTGCAACATTCTCAAACCGCACCACCTTCGGACCCTCTTTAGGGTTGTTGTTTTCACCCACATTGCTGACAATGACTTCCTCTCTACAGAGGCTCTATTCTCTCTTTGTGTAAGGTTCAGTCCATCAATGATGTCTTATTATTGTGGTTCTACGTTAGATCTAGGTTATCGTTCTGATTTCGTTGTAGTATGAATTTATTGTTATAATGCTCTTCAAATTATTCAGTGATCCACCTAATAAATTGTTCGATCAGCTAACTGTGATGGGTTGAATTTCTTTTTCATCTTCAATTTCAGTGTCCCAGTCTATCTGATCAGAAATGGCCGTGATTGGTTCTTGTAATTTTTTAGTGAGTTTTTGATTAATGAATTCGTTGCTATGTTGGCGGTCAAGTTTATTTGTTATTTTCAAAATTCGAACCAGTTGCTCGTCATTTCATGTTTCAAACTCTTTTTCTTGCAATTTGGTTTCAAACTCCGATGTGAGTTTGCTGGATAATTTACGTAATATATGGGTATTTGTCTCTAAATTTAGATTTTATTTATTTATTATTTTCTTTTTATTTTCACTGGGTTAGGCTTTATGATCCAATTTATTTATATTATTTCTTTTTTAATTTATTTAAATTGGCGCGAATTCTTCTATATCTATTTGGCTTAAATAAATAAATTGTACTAAACAAAGACGCAATGTAATGCAATATATGATTCACTATTTATTTATCAAATTTTTAGATTTATTAGGTAATTTTAAACAATTATAATAGCATTCATATTAGTAAGTGGATTTATTTTTAATGTATTAATCTTTAAAGTATTTTAAAAGATACATTTCGTATTAAAAAAATATCAATAAAACATAAATAAGATCCAAACTATATACTTTATTTAATGGTAATTTGTTGTAACTTTTGGTGTTTTAATATGTAGTTTTATACAAATACCAATAGCAAATGGTGACATTTTGAAATGTTGTTATTTGTAGTATATTGTGACGGTTTAAAATAACGTATAATGTGTTTGCTTTATCTGTCTCAATAGTATATTGATCGAAACTTCTTTTTTTTTTTTAAGGTCAACGGGTGTTTAGTTTTAGCCCTTTTTACATTACATATACAACTATCCTAGATCTCTATATAAAGCCATGTTCGTATAGTTTCATTGATAGTGTAGCAAGCTGAGAATTGTGTTTGTGTAACTCTAACCATGGCGTCTTCTCCATTGCCGGTAGCATACCAAGCATGGACAAGTCTAGCAGTACCAGATTGGTTAAACAAAGGAGACAACACATGGCAAATGGTATCGGCCACCCTGGTTGGAATCCAAAGCATGCCGGGGCTCGTGATTCTCTACGGCAGCATAGTAAAAAAGAAATGGGCAGTTAACTCAGCTTTCATGGCGCTTTACGCTTTTGCGGCGGTTATAATCTGTTGGGTTACATGGGCTTATAAGATGTCATTTGGTGAACAACTTTTGCCCTTTTGGGGTAAGGCCGGGCCGGCTTTGGGCCAGAAATTTTTGATCAATCAGGCCGGGCTACCGGCTACGGCGCATTACTTTCACGATGGACAAGTTGAAACCAGTGAAGCTACGCCGTTTTATCCGATGGCGACTATGGTTTGGTTTCAGTGTGTTTTTGCGGCTATTTCGGTTGTTATATTAGCTGGTTCGGTTTTGGCGAGGATGAGTTTTAAGGCGTGGATGATGTTTGTGCCTCTTTGGTTAACTTTTTCTTATACAATTGGTGCTTTTAGTTTGTGGGGTGGTGGTTTTTTGTTTCAATGGGGTGTTATGGATTATTCTGGTGGTTATGTTATCCACCTTTCTTCTGGAATTGCTGGTTTCACTGCTGCTTATTGGGTAAATTATTCTCCTTTTTACAACGCTTTTTCTTTAAGTGTTTACTAAAGTTTATTTCTATATTTCATCTATACATCTTACCATATCATCACATATTGCACACACATATTTTTGTTATTTTTATGTTTTAGAAGTGTATGGTCCGTTAAACTTCTCTCACATTCTTAATTATGTTAGTCCCGTTTTTTTTTATAAATTTTTATGGAATTGTTAAAATTTTAATCGTATCGAGCATGTTTGTCTGTCATAAGTGATGTTACCATATTAAAGGGACAAAAATTAGAATACTACATAAATTAAACTATTGTATTGCAAGGAATCTTTGAGAGAAATTCCTTTTTTCTACATGCATTGACTTGGTAGCAATTGAAAAATCTCAGAATATAAAAAAGTATATAAATGTTTAACTGTTCGGTAGTGTTTGTATTAATCTATTTATCGTTGATCTTTTAGTAGTACTATATATATCTAATTATGAATTTGTCAATGGTGACATATATATGAACAAATAAATAATTAACTAGGTCGGTATCATGGAAGCATATATATATAGAAACTGCAAAAATCCAAATTAATAATGAGTTGGAAAATAATATAGGTGGGGCCAAGATCAAAGAAAGACAGAGAGAGATTCCCACCAAACAACGTGTTACTAACGTTGGCAGGGGCAGGTTTACTATGGTTAGGATGGGCAGGTTTCAATGGTGGAGATCCTTATTCAGCCAACACTGATTCCTCCATGGCTGTTCTAAACACAAACATTTGTGCTGCCACTAGCCTTTTGGTTTGGACATGGCTTGATGTCATTTACTTCAAGAAACCATCTGTAATTGGAGCTGTTCAAGGCATGATCACCGGCCTTGTTTGCATCACTCCCGGAGCTGGTGCGTATTCTCTGATGTCGCTGTTATATTCTGTTAAATCACTAAACTATTATTATATATAAAATATGATATTTTTACATTATTTTCAATCCTACACTCTATTAATCAACTTTATTTTATTATTAAAATTTATTTTTAATAATTGATTGTTTATTAATCAATTTCATCATTTTATTAACCAATTTTTTATATATCATTAACCAACTCTAATTTACCCTATTCAAATTCTATTTATGGATACTATTCATAATTACTGTTCACATATATGGTATTGTTCATAATAGTATTTATACACTCTGTGGTATTGTTCACCATATTTGTTAACATTACCTACGATGTAGTGTAAATGAATAGCATTTCTGAATATTAGTACACGTTTTGAACCTTCTTTTACGGCCATACATAATATCATTGATTATTACTACTTCATATTGGCCACTTGGCATGAAACTGGCTGGGACATTCCATTATTGACTTGGGTTCTCAAAAATCGAATGTACTCCATTCATTAATATCTTTTTTAACAGCTTCAATGCAGAATATACTAATAGATTCCACTATTGACTTTTTTTTGTTTGTTTTTATTCACCACATTATTGACATTTTTAAATAATTGATGTTGATTAATTTTAATTTAAGCATGTGATTAAATGTATGGATATGAAAAGATAAAGTTGAACTAAGAAACACTCAATGTTCCAAAGTACTCCACGTATTACACCCGGGACTAAATGACTAATGACCTCATTTATTAAATAGAATTAATATTAGTCTTATGAAAAAAATTCAAAGTTTTAGATAGTTAATTTTATCTAAAAATTTATTGTGTGTGAATAGGTCTGGTTCAAGGATGGGCAGCCATAGTAATGGGTGTACTATCAGGAAGCGTACCATGGTACACAATGATGGTACTTGGAAAAAAGTTCACAATATTTCAAAAGGTTGACGACACCCTCGCCGTCTTCCACACTCACGCGGTGGCCGGCCTACTAGGCGGTATACTCACCGGCCTATTCGCCGAGCCAACACTAAGTTCTCTCTTTCTCCCCGTCACGAACTCCAAAGGCGGTGTCTACGGAGGCTCCGGTGGCGTCCAAATCCTCAAACAAATAGTTGGAGCATTATTCATCATTGGATGGAACATTGTTGCCACTTCAATTATTTGTGTAGTTGTAGGTTTTTGTGTTCCTTTAAGAATGACGGAGGAAGAGTTGCTTATTGGAGATGATGCTGTTCATGGTGAAGAAGCTTATGCTTTGTGGGGTGATGGAGAGAGACTTAGTCTCTATAAAGATGATACTACACGACAGGGAGTCTTGGCTTCAAGTGGTGCCACTCAAGTTGTTTAGAGAATAGAGATATCATGAGAAAATTCAACCATATGGAAATTGAGGGCTATGAACTAATTGATATGATTTTTTATTGGTGAAAACATAATCTTGAAGGAAAACAAATAGGTAAAGAAAAAATATGTGATTTGTTTTGTACTTCATTGGTAACAAGCTATGTATATTTATAATATATGCAATTATGTGCGTTGTGATTTGAATCTTTGTTCAATATTAATTTTTAGTTTGGCTGTAATTGCTTGCTATTGCTCCATTCACATTTTGTTGTTGTTGGTTGGAACAAGTGTTTTATCATTCACCTGCCAAGATCTATAATTGGTTTATTATCATACTTATACAGGCATGAAGTTCATGATAGAATTAATTTTATAACCGGCATGCCTAACAATGTATAACATACATTGTAATACGAGAGTCATACATACATGTATATAATTAAAGAATTAAAAAATTGATTTTAAAAATATTTAGATCAATTAAAAAAGTTTTTGTTGGTAGTAATGTTGAAGGTTAAGAGATAAATAAAGAATATTCAAAACTTGTGTGGTTTTTCATCAACCGCTATTCATAATATCTCGAATACTCTTCAAATGAGAAAAGATAAATAGTTTATGTAAGATATATTGGAGACCGTAACCTATTTATAAAGTGATAGTCAATTAAGATTCTCATTATTCTAAAAAATTAGATTGGAAAAAAGGAGGAAGAAGTGGTCTGTGAGAAGCACCACCACCATCATCGCACAAGCACTATGCAATAGAGATCGTGCGCTGCTCAAAGCCTGAATCAGACGATGTCGTTTAAATCGTCCTTCTACCGCAAGTGTTGCCTTTCGATCTCGCTGCTGTCGATACCTTCTTCCTCCGTTTTCATTTGATTTTTCCTTTGAATTGTTGTTTTAATATTGAATCCATGATTAAGTTTGTTAGCCTTTGCTGTATTCATGGTTGTCTTATTTGTTTTCTGAAAATGGTGAGGGAAGAATTTGAAGAAAAAAAGAGAGTTTGGAAACAAAGTGAAAGTGAAAGAGATATACAAGAGGGAAAGAGAGTTATTTTTGTGAAGAAGGTGACTGAGGAAAGAGAGAGAAAAAACTTAGTTTTTTTACACCACTAGTATACGACCTCCTAGATCTCTTAATTTAGTTAGGGGTCAGTTCTAACATCAAATAATTTTAACTTTCTCTCGATGGGATTCAACCGCAGTTCTCCCTATCAAGTCAAGCGTCTAGGGATGTTCAAAACCGAATTGGTCCAATATAAAATTGCAAAATCGAACCAAACCAAATTAAAACCGTAAAAGCCGCATTTGGTTCAGATGTGTTTAAGTCATTTTTAACAAAACTGCACGGTTCGGTTCGGTTTGCAGTTTGTGTTTTACAAACCGAACCAACCCTCATTATATTACAACTCAAATTTCACTTAACCCACATCCAACTCATACTCAAACCTTTTATGCCTTAGCCTTACAATTAAAAATTATTTTCTCTTCCTCACACTTAAAGTTTCAATTTAAGTCTTATCAAATCTCCCATAATGGTATCACGCCTTCTTCTAATCTTCTTTTTCAAATACATCTCGTATTTTCTTCTCTAGTCTTTAATCTCTTATGTTCTTTCTTTTCATCTTATTATTTTTATTCTATTGTTCTCTCTTCCAATTACGCTTTTAATGCACATTTTCTTTTGTAATCTTTCCTCTCTTCTGTTATTTCTTTTTCATCTTCTCTAATCTTTCATCTCCTATGTTTTTTCTATTTCATTATAATATTTTTGATATTGTTTTATGCTACTATTTTATGTTTTTTGTTCGACTTTTCTCTACTCTTATTTTGTATGTTAAATGGAAAGTAGTTGTCCAAATATGATAAATTTTATTGTTATTTGATAATGCATAAATTATTAAATATAAAGTTATGTTGTCATCTATATGTGTATGTATGACTCAATAACTTTTTTGATAAAAAACTGAACTAACTGAACTAATCCAAATCGTATTAGTTTGGTTTGGTTTGGTTTGATTTTATTTCTCAAAGCCAACCGAACCAAACTGGACTGCACACTTTTTTCTCTTACGATTCAGATGATTTTTTGCATCAAAATCATTCAAATCGCACCACAAACATCCTACCAACGCCAATCACCACTATTAACTATTGGTAAAAAGCTTAGATTTTTGTTTGTTTATTTTGTTTCATTACATTTAAAATATTATTTTATTTTATTTTTTAAACCTAAGGCCATGCGTCTAGTATTAAGTGGTGGCTTTGTTAAATAAAAAAAATATATAAACAAATTTATAAAAAAAAAAAGAGAGAAGGGTATACGTGAAAGCAATGACGGGAAAATTTCCCCATTGTTATCTTTATTTTTTTGGTTTAATGATACTTTTGGTCCTCGCATTTTGACCAATTCACGAAATTGATTCTTCTTTTTTAAAACTGAACAAAACAGTCCCTATACTTTCTTGTTGGTTGTAATTTAGTCATAAAGCTCATTTTCCCCTTCAAAAATGCTGATGTGTCAAAATTTTGAGTGACGTGGCCAAAATAACACCTATGTGGAAATACAAATTTGGAAATTTTAATCATTAATTCATCAAATTTATTTTTAAAGCATTAAAATATAAACAAAAATTACATTTACAGTTATTTGTGTCTTGTGCTCTCTTCTTTCCCAAACACGAACATTGATCTTCTCCATTTCCTTCCTTCCAATCATATCTTCCATGGCATAGAAGGACAAAGATCATAATTCGAAATACTATTTCAGGTATGTAACATGTCATATAAATTAGGGTTTTTTGTTCGATGGTTATTTTCGTTGTTGTCTTATATATTAGGGTTTTTTGGTTGTTGTGGTTGTATTTTGCATGGGCCAAGTGATGGCCAAAAGTTGAAGATATGTATTAACCATCAAGGCGGGTTTGTAGATTTCCCTGTCAAAGTGTATGTGGAGGGCCTATTCTATGAAGAGGAAGATGATGTTGATGTTGATTGGGTCAAATATGAGGATGCCCCTGTTCAATCTTCTTAAACCTGAGGATGTAGATTGGCTAGTCTGCCTTTCGTGATCTGAAGGTGGAAGATGATTGAACACTAGAGTGCCCAGAAATTTTCACTCGCATGAAGTAATACTGATCGATAATATCGGGAATGGGATTACATATTCCATTTGGAAGGCGACAGAGAATCGTCAGAGATGGGCTTAAAGATGCCATCCAGAAAAGATATCGGTTGCATAAGTGATTCCTTTGCGAGAATTCCTGTACCTGCCGTTGAGGAGGACTTCGCCGGGGAATGTCGATTTATGTCCTGGGAAATAGAGTATAGGAGTTTCGGTTGTCCATTACTCTACTGGGGAATTAAATCTTGATTGATTAGACAAAAGTGAGTTGTTATCTGGTCGGGTCCAGGCTTCACAGTGACTGGTTGAGGATGATAAGGATGACTTCTATCTGGTCGTATTCCAGGCTTCATAGCGACTTACTGGGGAATATGAAATTGACCGTATCTGGTTGGATCCAGGTTTTATAGTGTTGTAAACTGTTGTCCTGAGATAAAAGAGAAGGAACCTATATAGGGCTTTCTCGGGATAAGTCCATGCAAAACTGCGTCAAGTAATTCTTGAAAAGGAGCCTGGATAGTAGGGATATGAGAAGGAACCTGGGTGGTAGGGCTACTTCGAAATGAAATCCTGGATAGTAGGGTTATGAGAAGGAACCTGGGTGGTAGGGTTACTTCGAAATGAAAGCCTGGATAATAGGGCTATGAGAAGGAACCTGGGTAGCAGGGTTACTTCGAAATGAAAGCCTGGATAGTAGGGCTATGAGAAGGAACCTGGATAGTAGGGTTACTTCGAAAATAAAGCCTGGATAGTAGGGCTATGAGAAGGAACCTGGGTAGTAGGGTTACTTCGAAATGAAAGCCTGGATAGTAGGGCTATGAGAAAGAACCTGGATAGTAGGGTTACTTCGAAATGAAAGCCTAGATAGTAGGGCTATGAGAAGGAACCTGGATAGTAGGGTTAATTCGAAATGAAAGCCTGGATAATAGGGCTATGAGAAGGAACCTGGATAGTAGGGTTACTTCGAGATGAAAGCCTGTATATTAGGGCTTATGGGAAGGAACCTGGATAGTAGGGATACTTCGAGATGAGAGCCTGGATAGTAGGGCTATGAGAAGGAACCTGGATAGTAGGATTACTTAGAAATGAAAGCCTGGATAATAGGGCTATGAGAAGGAACCTGGATAGTAGGGTTACTTCGAGATGAAATCCTGAATAATAGGGCTTATGGGAAGGAACCTAGATAGTAGGGTTACTTCGAGATGAAATCCTGGATGGTAGGGCTTAGAGAAGGAACCTGAATAGTAGGGTTACTTCGGGATGAAAGCCTGGATAGTAGGGATTATGGGAAGGAACCTGGATAGTAGGGTTACTTCAAGGTGGAAGCCTGGATAGTAGGACTTATGGGAAGGAACCTAGATCGTAGGGTTACTTTGTAGGGAGTTTGGGTAAAACTGCATCTGAACCGAGAAGGAACCTAGGTAAGGTTGCTTCGTGAGGAGTTTAGGTTAAAATGCATCAGAACCGAGAAGGAACCTAGGTAAGGTTGCTTTGTGAGGAGTTTAGGTAAAACTGCATTTGAATCGAGAAGGAACCTAGGTAAGGTTGCTTCGTGAGGAGTTTAGGTAAAACTGCATCTGAAACGAGAAGGAACCTAGGTAAGGTTGCTTCATGAGGAGTTTAGGTAAAACTGCATTTGCACCAAGAGGGAACTTAGGTAAGGTTGCTTCATGAAGAGTTTGGGTAAAATTGCATTTGCACCAAGAAGAAACCTAGGTAAGGTTGCTTCGTGAGGAGTTTGGGTAAAACTACATCGGAATCGAGAAGGAACCTAGGTAAGGTTGCTTCATGGGGAGTTTGGGTAAAACTGCATCTGCACCGAGAAGGAACCTAGGTAAGGTTGCTTCGTGAGGAGTTTGGGTAAAACTGCATTTGC